ATATATATATATATATATATATATGTAAAGTGTTACAAAAATGATCTAGGGTTGTATGATATTCTCCCCAGTCTGAAAAAAATCATCTAATGAAACGAAGAAGAAAAACTCATTGTTGCTGCAAAAACCTTGATAAACATTCTAACTAGAGCTCAGGGAAACAAAGAACCTAATATAAGAGCACTTTATCAGAAGATATGACCCCTTTAATGTCGTGACACTCCCATTATAGTGCAGAATAATAGACGACACGGCTCAGTTTCTGGAAGAACTAGGTCCAGTCATCATTAACAAAGTTTCCTTTCATGCTCCGCAGGGGATTCTGGGTTCTGGGTTTGCCTTGAAAGTTCAGGAACAGCATCGGCAGAAACATTTCGAGAAGCGCAGAAATCCAGCTGCCGGCCTAATTCAGGTACAACACGCCTCGTCTCAACGTCCCAGATACGCTCAGTGTTGCCCGATCTGGTTAGCTGGGAAAATAACACTGACTTTGTTGAACAAGTGAGAAACTGAGAGCTCTGAAAAGGTCTGATAGCCTCAAAAAATCAAATGTATCACGGTTTACACAACAATATTGGGCAGCACAACTGTTTTCGACATTGATAATAATCAGAAATGTTTCTTGAGCAGCAAATCAGCATATTAGAATGATTTCTGAAGATCATGTGACACTGAAGACTGGAGTAATGATGCTGAAAATTCAGCTTTGATCACAGAAATAAATTACATTTTAACAGATATTCACATAGAAAACAGTTATTTTAAATTGTAATAATATTTCACAATTTTACAGTTTTTACTGTATTTTTGATCTTCTTCCAAAAACATAAAAATCTATCTGATCTCATACTGAGCCCAAAAAATTATGATGAGCAAATGAATTTTTTGTTGTAATTTGAGCAAACCTCCCTAAACAAACCAAACTACCAAGTCTGTGTTATTAAATGTACAGCTCACGTGTCATTATTTTGTCCTTGTATGAAATGTAATTTTTAGGTGAATTATCTAATGCATGTTATATTTTAATATGACTCTGTTTAATGCCATCTTTCAGAATGCCTGGAGGTTTTACGCCACAAACCTGAATCGCACGGATCTCTATTCGACGTGGGACTATTACGAGAGGACTGTATCGGTGCCCATGTACAGGTACATGTACTTCTGCACACATTTCCATCCCCCATCCCCCCTCTCTCTCTATCCCAGCATTCCTCTGGGAGTCAGATGAGATCTCCTCAGACGTCTCTGCATCGATCTGCTCACTGACCTTTGAGGCTGTTTTTATGCAGATTGTGAAGGTCAACAGAGCTGTCCACACACTCCCTCCCTTCATACCTATGGCATGTTTTATTCATGCATCACGCTTTGATTTCGAATGTCGAATCAGCAGGGTATGCATGTGATGTTGCGTGTCATATGTAATGTGTTGCATCAGCTAATGCTGCTTTTGAGTCATAAAATAGAGTATATGAACATAAAAGCTTTAGAATCACGTGTTTATGATGTGCTTCGTGCAATACAATACACCACCACTGTTATTGATGAACATGTAGCATCTATTGCACTGAATGCATTGGAGGTTAAGAAACAAAGACTTTGATTTTCTTTTATTCATCATGGATGCATTAAATTGATCAAAAGTGACAGTAAAGACATTTATAACGTTATTATTATTTTTTTTTCAAGTTAAGGCTGTCCTTTTGAACTTTCTATTCATCAAAGAATCCATGGTTTCCACAAAAATATTGGGCAGCACAACTGTTCTCAACATTGATAATAATCAGAAATGTTTCTTGAGCAGCAAATCAGCATATTAGAATGATATCTGAAGGATCATGTGACACTGAAGACTGGAGTAATGATGCTGAAAATTCAGCTGCGCATCACAGAAATAAATTAAGTTTAACTATATATTCACATAGAAAACAGCTATTTTAAATTGTAATCATATTTCAAAATTTTTACTGTTTTCATTGAATTTGTATTAAATTAATTGAGCCAAAAATTCAGAGCAAAAAATCTTTCAAAAACATAAAAATCTTTCTGATCTACTGAGCCAAAACAAATTTGTGCGAAGGATGAGCAAATTAATCTCTTATTTGTTTTTGTTTGTTAAGTCAGGCATTTCTATTATTAGTGCTCATATTTCATGTTAGACCAAACAGTGTTATTTGTTAGTGATTTGAACAAACCTCCCAGAGTATTTGGTGCATTATAAACTTCAGGTTTACTTCTCTGTAGTCAGCATATACCTTTTTCTTTCTGTCTTTTTCTGTCTGTTTAAAAAGTTATTATATTGTGCACGAGATTGTAGGTGTTTCATGGACGTTGTTTGTGTGCAAATATTTTGCCAGTCCATGCATGTCCACATCAATGAAGACATTATTTATGTGTGCGTGTGTGCGTGTGTGTGTGTGTGTGTGTGTGTGTGCGTGTGCGTGTGTGTGTGTGTGAGTGTGTATTAGTTTGACCTTATTTGTGTGCAGACAGATGTGTGGCATTTAATAAGCCAAATGCACATGAATACATCCGCCCACGTTTAAAAAAAAAAAAACACTGAAACACATGTTGTGAAGAGAATTAATCTCTATAGGAAACACTTTATTTTAACCTTCATTAACTTAAATTTGGGCTTAAATATTGTTTTTATTGTAAATATAATAATTTATAGTGTAAAAGCAAAGTTAATGACAGGCTCTTGAATTAATGAAAATTTAATGCACACTCAAGGTGGTTATGCAATGCAAAATTACTCATATTTATGTGTGTTTCAAGACGTTTTTCAGATGTATTCAGGGTTTTATGAAATAAACATGGAATTACTTTCATAGCCCAGCAATCATAATAAATTAATCAACAACCTTGAAATGGGTCAACCAATCAGAATGTGTAAAATGGTAACATGCGATCCTATTATGCATTTTACCAAATCAGGTAAAACTCCTGGGTGAATATCAACTTGTCCAGTGATGTTTTATAACTTTTCATATCATTTTCAGTAGTTTTTGAGTGTGCTTGACACAATTACTTTTTCCTAACATCATAGCTAAACCATCTGCAAACCCTCAGTCTCTAACTTCTATACTCTTCCACCCTTCACAGTCAGAAAGTGAGCCTGAAAGAGCGTGTGTTCTCCAGCCCGAGAAACTCCGCGAACAAAGGGAAGAACTCTCCTCAGGGCCAGCAGCCCCTGCGACGCTCTCCCAGTGCCGACAACAGCATCGAGTACAGTCCCTCCAAAGTACCCAAGAGCATCAGCTTCGGCGACCGCAGTCGAGCCAGACAGGCCTTCCGCCTCAAAGGCGCCGCGTCTCGCCAGAACTCAGAAGGTGAGGGAAAGCAACCCGTTCCTGTGCGCTTATTCGGTGTTGCCTTCTGTATCTGTCCGCTTTGGTCGTGGTTTGGTAGTTGTAGAATGTTACATTTGTTACAGTTGTTACAGAATGTTTCATACACAGAATGTTACAGAATGGTAGCTGTAGAATGTTATATTTCTTACAGTTGTTACAGATTGTTACATACACAGAATGTTACAGAATGGTAGTTGTAGATTGTTATATTTGTTACGATTGTTACAGAATGTTACAGAATGGTAGTTTAGAATGTTGTAGATTCAAATGCAACAAGTAACAATCATGAAGTGCAAGATCATCATTATAGTTTGTATATTTGAAGTTGCAGTAGATACAACGTGAATACTAGTGCCTTGAGACACAGGAACTCTCCAGGTCAGGCAATCCAGATGGGTCGGGCTCCCATTCAACCGCTTAAAACCAAAGCACCATATTCAGTCAAACTAACCAGCTTCAGTCACAGCACAACTACCAGTCTGCAAATATGCTTTGAATTTGGTTTTGGCTATGATTAACACTTTCCTTATCTTACATGCTTTATAAAAATAGTATTTTATTGATTTTTTTGCCGTCAATTGAGCAATATTACTATATGGACAAAAGTATTGTGACTCCCCCAGGTTTGACTACTTTAGTAATTTCCATGAGTACGAATCTTAATGTTTAAGCATATAATGATATTCTAGGGAATTGTGTGCTTCTAATTTTATAGCAACAGTTTAGACACGACCCTTTTCTATTCTAACATGACAATACCTCTGTGTATAAGGCAAGGTTCAAAAAGAAATGATTGATTCAGTCAGTGTGGAAGAACTTGACTGGTCTGCATGAGCCAAAAACTCATCACCAATGACTTGTACATATGGGTCGAGTCATTTTAAACACTTCCAAAACTGTTGCAACAGAGATGGAAATACAATTTTTAAATACATGAATTATGTTTTCCATCTTTGTAGCCACCGTTTTGGAAGTGCCTTTTCTGTTCTAAAGAAGGGGGTGTCTCAATACTTTTGTCTATGTAGTGTATGTACAAGTCATTGGTGTTTGGTGATGAGTTTTTGGCTCAAGGTCTGCATTTAAAGTCACACATTTATTTTTGAACCTTGCCTTATACACAGAGGCCAAACTGTTGCTATAAAATTAGAAGCACACAATTCCCTAGAATTTCAGTATATGCTTTAACATTAAGATTTGTACTCATGGAAATTACTAAAATAGTCAAACCTGGTCATTAGAAGGGGGTGTCCCAATACTTTGACCATACACTTAAAAATAAAGGTGCTTAAAAGGTTCTTCACAGCGATGCCATAGAAGAACCATTTTTGGTTCCACAAAGAAGCATTCAGTCAAAGGTTCTTTAAAGAACCATCTCTTTCTTACCTTTTTATAATCTGAAGAACCTTCTTTTGCCACAAAGAACCTTTTGTGAAACAGAAAGGTTCTTCAGATGTTAAAGGTTCTTTATGGAACCATTCAGACAAAAAAGGTTCTTCTATGGCATCATGAAGCACCTTTATTTTTAAGAGTGTATAGTGTTTCAACATGTGATTTCATTAGTCCAGTTTAATTCCTTTGTGTTTTAATTAGCTTTCATTCAAGGTAAAGCTCAAGGGTCTCTTGACTAAAGCGCTCACTGTTATACAGCATGCTAAATGTATTTATTAATTTATTTTGCCCATTTAAAGCTACAGTATGTAAGATTTTCCGTTCTTGAATGACTGCATATCTCTCAAGACTGCTGGGATGAATTTAAAGAGAGACTCAATTGAGGATTTTTATGGCGTTATAGCACAGCATGAGTAGTATTATTGTTGTTGAAACTCTTTTCATTAGTTTTGAAGGTCAAATGTATCACTATTTAAGGATTCAGCTGTCATTGGGACAAATCCGCTTAAAAGGCCACCAGCAATCAGTCAGCTAAAGTTCATCAGCCAGTTATGTCAAATGTGATCGTCTGATCATCATGAAATTTAGACATATGTGCATACATGTCTTTAAGAGGCAGTGTACCAAATTTTGTGTATTCAACCACTAGGTGGTGCTGTAATAAGCAAATGTATCTAACTCAAGAACCATATGGGGTCACAATACAATTTTCAATTTCCTGAAAAACCTACTTTTCAAACTCAACCTAGGTCTTTCATTCTGTTTAACATTAAGTTTTCTTACAAAAAAAGTTAATCGGGTAATTTTAAAATATCTGATTGTTCGGCACACTTAAGTCAATACAATTTTCCAACCCGATCTCATGAAAGTGCGTATAAATAGTACGCCAAATAAAAACGAAAACTCGTGGTATTGATACGCAAAAATGGACTTTGATGTGTATATGCTACGCTATATGATGACGTATATGCTATATGATGGGTAGGTTTAGGGTTGTGGGGTAGATGCGTATCATATGTACGCGAAAACTGCGTATCATCTGCACGCCAACAAATTTCGTATCATATGCACGCGAAAACTGCGTATTATATGCACGCCAAACACATGCGTATCATATGCACGCCAAAGTCCATTTTTGCGTATCAATACCACGAGTTTTCGTTTTTATTTGGCATACTATTTATACGCATTTTCATGAGACTGGACTGCAATTTTCAGGTGCATTATTAGTCCATATTGACTAATAATCCTGTATAATGTTAATGCAATGTGCAAACTTAACAAATTTTGGTGCACAAGGACACCAGGACAATCTTAACAGATGCTCCAAATTTCATGAAATTGCGCCTAGAAATGCTATAACTAGGAAGCTTCGTATCTCTCCACAACCCCCTTTTGATTAAGGAAGCTGATTAAAAATTGGTTTGTTTGGATCCAGTTCATTTCTCCTTCTATACGGAGTACATCACAGTGGTCTGAGAATATGCCAGTCTGTAAAGTCTTACCTGCTTTAAATGCTGGACTGTCCACTCTTCTTTCTGTTTGATTTTGAACAATGAAAAAATATTAGTTACAAATCTGATGTGTTCTTCTGTTAAAATGCTTGCATGTTTAAGATACCTTTGAAAACCTTTAGCATGATGAACTGTTTTTTTTATGCTCTAAATTGACATCTTTTTTAGTTAGTACTTTTATTTTTACATTTTATTTTACATGTGAATCCTTTTTTAAAAAAGGAAAAAGGGTACGGCTGATTAGTCAATGTTATCAATCTAATATTGTTACTTAAGTCCCATAGCCTGTGAAATATATTCAATGTCCTAAAACATGCATATATTTATAATAATTGGTTTCTGGCTACAAATTTGCCATTTTAGCTACAAAACTGAAGTCAAATTACATTCAAATCCAATCAAAGTCCTAGTACATTCCAGAAACACAACATTTCATATTGCACTTGTGTTTTTTTTACACTGATCTGCATGAGATATTTTGTGATGCAACTAAACCGTCTATATTTCATGTTGTGTATTTTTAAAGATTTTTTTTCATTAATGTTCTTTTATGAGTGATGGGTTTCTTTAATAGTAACAGTATATTAATGATTTTTCCCTTCTTTTCTCATTTTAGTTTTGTTTTTAGAAACGTCTAGCAATTTCGACTAGTCATGCTGTACTTCTTTTTAGTACTGATGCTGTGAAGTTCATGAAATATCCTGCTGTCATCTATAAATTGCTATCAAGGTATCAGATGGTTAGCGTATTATAAATGCAATGCAGAGAAAACCTTGTGATTGCAAGTCCACCTGATGTCTTGTTAGTGTGCAGAATTCAATTTGCATCTTCACTTGAATGTCATTTCATTGTATTTAAAAACTGACACTCTTTGAGTATTTCACTTCATGCAAGAAAGAGTGTGAATCATTTCTCTGAAGGTGAATCATTTATTTGAAGCACTGAAGCTTTGGATAGCTTCACAACAAAATCTTGTTTTAGAACTAAATCTGGTTCACCTTCAGAGAATTTACAAGTTTCAGAAAATTCTGAATGTATTTTATTTTTCATTATTATGACCATTGTTCCTTGAAGTTATAGATTTTAAGCAGGTCTGTTTTGTTGTTGTTTTTGTAACTGTATTACCATCTCTCCTCCCCGAACTATCGCAGCAATTGAAGGGTTAATCAGTAAGAGATTATCAAACAGGAGCTCGTTTTTACCAACCCTAGAACTAGTGCTAGAGGATGGCTGCAAACTTTGCTCTTTTACCTGCATGTGAGGAGAACTAGTTAGTCCTGAGGAGGAAAAGACCACAGAGCTGTGGAACAACTAGTCAACCTCATTAAACTGGTGTCAGACCGTCATTATTCACTCGAGGGTCTGGAGCCGGACGGTTGTTTTAAAGCTCTGTGGTTTATTTGGCATAATAAGCACAGGTAGATTTATTTGTACACACCTGTCCTGTGCCAGATGGTCTGTGCTAGCTTATGGGAACACGGGAGAAAGACGCCGTGACCCAAAATGGCAAATGCAATCAGCGTTTTGCATAAGAAAATAGGCTGGTTAGTCTTATTTAAAGGGACAGTTCACCCTAAAAATGAAAATTAGCTGTTAGTTTAATCCCCCTCAGGCCTCCAAGATGTAGGTGCCTTTTTTCTTCAGTAGAACAGTAAAGAAGATTTTTAGCTAAAATCGTGCTCCATGGTGATTCGTAAAATGCACGTCAGTGGCTACCCCTTTTTTTTTTTTTTTTCAAGGAACATAAAATTAGTCCCCATGGCTCCTGATGATGTATTGAGGTCTTGTGAAGAGAAATGATCGGTCTGTGCAAAAACACTGAACATTATTTACAACATTATAACCTGTCATAGGCGCCGAAAAACATGAGATAGTCTCCGTTCATTTTAACCAATAAGAAATAGATTGCATGCTTTTACGACTTTATTCAAATTTTTGTGTTTGTGCCATTGACTGCTCTACTGAAGAAAAAAAGTCGCCTACATCTTGGACAGCCTGAGGATGAGTAAACTAACAGCAAATGTTCAGTTTTGGTTGAACTATCCCTCTAAGTGTTAATGACTCTAAATCAGTGGTTCTCAACAGGTGAGAGTCGTGACCCAAAAGTTAGTTACAGATCTGTTTTGATAAAGAAAATATGACCTGTATAACATTAAATGCTGGTTCCAGGTTTGGCATTGTGTTGGGTGTTCAACATAAAATCAGTTGGGAGCCGCTGCTTTAAGATTCAAGGTAGTTTAGAATCCAGTCCACTGAGTCCAGCACTGAGGTATCACTGGTTAAGTACAAGTTTCATCAATTACCAATGCTCTAGAAAATCATTTAAAACAGTCAATTAAATTGAAGAAGGCATTTCATTATGGCCATTAACATATTTGACAGTTGCCTCAGTGCTTTATTAACTCACTCATAGTCAAATACTTCATTAAATAATGTCCTTTGACAAAAATGTGCCAGTATTTCTACAAAGTCAGTGTGATGAAAGAATTATTTGTTTATTTGCATGTATTTGCAAAAGTTCATTGCTGTTTGTTTTTACAGCAGCCTCAAAAAAAAAAACAAAAAAAAACAGTTTGGACTTAAGTTACACTTAAACGTGTTTGAATGTCACTGCATTAGATACAAAATATCAAATCTGCACAATTTTGCAAGTTTTTTTTTTTTTTTACTTTATAACTTGATGCTTGATGGAGTTGTAGTTCATTAAATTAACTATGAACACGTTTAACTAACGTTTAACAAACACAAACACTTCGCACTGTAAAAAATATGTATTTTTCAAAGTACATTATTGAAGTGTGTTTTATCAGAAAATATTATCATCATTTTTTTAATTAATTGAAATTTGCTATCAATTTTCTATAAATTCCAGTGTCCTTATCTATCTATCTATCTATCTATCTATATTTGTTTGTTTGTTTGTTTGTTTATTTATCATTTTAAACCAGCTAGTATTAGTGAAATTTGCTAGCAATTTCTGAGTTTTTTGTGTCCTTATGTATTTATTTACTTTTTTTTTTTTTATCATTCTAAACCGACTTATTTAACATGTTCAATTTAAATAGCACTTGATTAGATATTTTATTATCTGACTCAGTGATGTATATTCAGTTTAACTGTTTAAGCGCGCAGATGAGTTTTGGGGTCACCGTATGGCTTTGTTATTCTTTGGGCCACAGTTGTCTTGGATTTCTCCAGTGATGCCCGTCTCGTAGCTTTATAAAGATGGCATTGCACTGACCAGTCTGGGGTGGGACTGAGCTAGTTAACCGAGTTAACGGCTGTAGCTCTGCTAAGTTTAGGTTTTTGGATGGTTTAGGGGGTTTGTGCACTAACTCCAGAGTCCTGCTGTCCGTGTTGTGTTTTTTAGAAGCCAGCCTTCCCGGAGAAGACATTGTTGATGACAATAAGAGCTGCCATTGTGAGTTTGTCCCTCAGGATTTAACGCCGGGACTAAAAGTTACCATCAGGGCCGTGTGGTAAGCAAAGATGAGACAGGCAGCATCCATCAGACGTGTAATATTATTGATAAAACTACAGCAGTCTGCATCACATAATATTACCTCATAAACTCAGTCTTTCCTGTGTTACATTCAGTCTTTCGAATCCTTCGTTACATTCACACTTTCATTGCTCAGATCACGCCAGCGACTCTTATGCATGAGATATTTTGAATATTGAAGGTCAGTATCGAACCTGAAAAAATAGATGAGTGTCTGGGACTCAGCTATGAAGTAAATCTCACAAAAACATGTTCAGGTCATGTTTTACTGTAAGATTAAAAGTAAAAATCCTAATGGTTCAGGGTTATTGTAGTTTACTAAAACCACAAAATAACATTTTATTTACTTAAATAAAATCAAATAATAATATATGTTTTATTATTTTAATTATTGTAACTTATTTTATATATTTTATGTTCATTTGACTTATTTTATTTTTTCATTTTATTTCTCACTTTTATTTAAATTAGCTTGATTAGCTAAAATAACTAAAACTAAAGCTGAAATAAAAATGTATAAAAATACTATTATAGTTTTTTATGAATACTTTGAAATAGTTTTTATCATTTAGTCATTTTGCTGTGTGCTTTTGTCATTTTTATTAGTTTTTGTTTTATTTAAATATGGCTTAACGTAACCATATAACCATATAGTTTTTATTTATTTTCATTTCAGTTTTTTTAGTACATAAAATTAAACTAAATGAAAATGAGAAATGTTGCCTTGGCAACTAGATGAAATACAATAAGTACAATTAAAAAAATAATAAATTCTTAACTATTTTATTTTATTTCAAGTAATAAACTAGCCAAAATCAAATTATTCTTTTTTAATATTTTATTTCAGTTATTTATTTATTTTTATTAATATTTTTCATGGTTTTAGTACTATAAATAGGTCATCAAAACATATTTTCTTGTTTCTTTCTTTATATTTTTGGGTGAAATATGACCTGGACATGTTCTCGAAAGCTTCACTGAGATTCAGCCTTTGTTTTTGTGTAAAGTGTTAAGCGTGATGATGTGTGTGATTGTTTGTCCCTGCAGCATCATGAGGTTCATGGTGTCCAAGCGAAAGTTTAAAGAGAGTCTGCGGCCGTATGACGTGATGGACGTGATCGAGCAGTATTCGGCCGGACATCTGGACATGTTGGCGCGCATTAAAAATCTGCAGTCCAGGCAAGAGATGCAGCTGCTTCTCTTTCTCTCTTCTCTTCACACACTCCTCACACCGTCGGACATGACCGTGACGCTTGACTCATACACACTAGACAGTGTTGTGTTGTGTTGTGTTTTGCATGGCTCAGTGTCCTAAACGTCTCTCACTGGTTTGATGTTCATATCCGTCGGAATCAGAACTATCCTCACATGTATGTATATGATACCCAAAAACCGCCTCGAACGCTGTCTTCAGTGGCTTTTGTGTGTTTAAATGCCTCCTCTGAGAAACATTATCTACATTTTCATTTATTAAGATACAATATCATGATATTTTAGCAGTTCAGAGCAGCATATGTGGGTCAATAATGACGTGGGACTCATTTTTATTAAATTAATATATTAATTTATTTGAAAATAAATAAAAAGGCAGTTCATACTTTGATGTAGGATTTAGTTTGAAACCATTTTCACTCAGAAATTCACAAATAGTAAGAAATGGCAAGTAAAACATTGAATTAAATGTGAAATTTTGAAAATTTGATATTCACGATTCAGACATTCATATTTGTACAAATATTTTTACCTTGTAAAAAATAAAAATGTTTAAAGAAATGTTTAAGATTTGTACACTCAAGATGGAATGAAAATATTTTATCATATTTTATTAGATAAAATATTTAAGCATGAAAGATTTTGTTATTTTATGGCATGTAAAAAATTATAAATTTTTCATATATTCAAATCTGACATTAAAACAGCAAAAAAAGATGTAAAGATGTAAGATATAATAAAATGACTCTGTTTAATTAGATAAAATGTTTAAATATGAAATATTTTATTATTTATTAATGCATATTAAATGCATTTTAAATTATAATATTTGTTTAATATTTTTTAAGTTATTAATTGAAAGTTTGGTTGAAAATAATATTAAAGCTTCTCAATGCCATATAAAACCAACACATTTTTATACATATGTTTAAAAATATGTTTTATATAATGAAAAATTTTAAATATTTTAGGTAAAATATTTAAAGCTGAAATATTTTGTTGTTTTATTCTAAATTGTATTATTATTTATTAATATTTTTCTTGCTATTTTTTGAGTTATTAAATGAATGTTTGGTTGAAAAAAATAGTATTAAAGTTCATCAAAACCATCAGTTCTGTTCATACACTCTAAAAAAATGCTGGGTTAAATACAACCCAGTGCTGGGTAAAAACAGCACTTTTCAGTGTACATAAACTGCTGCCTACCTACTAATCCAACACAGTCCCATCCATCTTGTTTTAGGCCAGTCCTCCTGTATGTATGAATAAATGAATGTGGTTATGATTTGACATGTGAATATATTCCTGCTTATAAACAAGCACACATTTTGAAAACATTACTGGCATACTTTCATCACATGTTGATCGCTTACAGCAAGTGCGAGAGCTTTTCACGGTGATGTCTGGAATATATTTGGAGGGTTTGTTGTTGTTGTTGGTTTGGGTTTGCGCCGCTCGTGTCACGTCATTCTGCATTCTGCTGTCCTCTACTCTATTTGCTTTGCCAGGTTAGATATGATATTGGGTCCTCCGGGTCCCGGCACCCCTCGCCAAAAGAAGTGTTCAACCAAAGGAACCACAGAGTCGCCCCAGTTGTCTTCTAGGTTAGGATCCCGGGCCTGCGTTAGATCTCTCTCGCTCCAGAGACCAACCAAGAAACCTGCTTCTGCTTCAGACTACATGGCTAGTAGAAACTGAGCTACCTAAACAAACTAGTCTATTACTGCATCAAGCCTGAACGCTCCGGGCGGCTTCTGATAATCAGCTCCTAATTCACTTCATGACCTTTGTTTGCTGTGACCGAAGTGTTTTGTAGAGACGTTTAGTCGAGGGGAACCAAATACCACATTTCGGTGAGTTACTAGTCATGTAGCTGAACTAAAACTGGTTAAGCTAGTTTGCCTGCACCACGCTGTGTGGAAATTAAGAGTTGCGGCAGCAAGAAGCAGCAAATGGAGATGCACATCTCTGAATGGTCTTTCCTTTCATTTAGCATCACTGTTTTTGCGTATGCATGTCGGCATGGCGTTTTTTCAGGCATGCCACTTTTTTTTTTTTCTGTTTTCTTCATGCTTGATTCCCACCGATCTTTTTTTTAAAGCAGCCAAACAACACATCTGATGGTGTCTCGGATCAGAGGCACCCCTGCTAGTGTAGTCCATCAGCTTTGGATAATGTGTCAAATGTGCGGCTAATACTGCAATATGCAACTAAAGACGTGATTTCACTTCGACACATTGTTCAAAAGTGGCAAATATCAACAGAAAACGTCCGTCTGGAGGGCCTGACTCTTTCTGTCCAATCATATGTGTCTGTCTGCGTGTGGACACGCCCCCTCATTATCATATCCCTCCCTCTGCATGCATTCATTGATTTCCCACACTGCTTTGTGCTTTAAGATAGAATACATGGTGTATTATTTCTTAAAGTTAAGAATTTATACATCTTTCATATGAATGTTGTTTTATTCTAACAGTTCAGACATATAGCAATGTGATAAATGAACATGTAAGAGAAATATTGATGTGATGCATTTAGAACAAAACAAAATATATCAAATAAATGTTATTGTAAATATACAGTATATATAAAATTATATTAATATTAAATATATATATATAATTTTTAAATCTACAATTTAAAAGAAAATATGGTGTATTTAACAATTGGTGAATATGAAAAAATGTGTTTCTGTGTTTATCCATGTTTAATGTGTAATGAATCACTGGTTGGCATATTTTCTTCTAAAACTGTTTTTTTTTTTTTTTGCAGAAAACGCTTATAGTTTGACTCTGATGAGTTATGAAGTTTTTATTCTAGATGTTTCATGTCTGTAATTGATTGTTAGAGTGGATCAGATTGTTGGTCGGGGTCCTTCAGTAACAGACAAGGATCGTCCTAAAGGAACCACGGATGCAGAACTGCCAGAAGATCCCAGTATGATGGGACGGCTTGGGAAAGTGGAGAAACAGGTCAGTCACACACCTGTTTGCGGATTGATTGATATATACATTATTTAATGTTCAATTTTGCTACTGATATAAAGAAAGAAATACATTTAAAATGATTCTTTATATGACATTTTGAATTCACTCGCGGGAGAAACTTAATTTTAAAAGCATGTTATAGAACATTAAGAGGTTGTTTCCAAAATAAGTTATATAAAAATAAAAACTAAATACAGTATCGTATGTTTAAACTTGTTTCTGAATAACTCAATTATTGAACTAATTAAGTAAATTTGTCTAATATGATTATACTAGTACATTACATAAACGTATACAAACAAATGTGTTTTTCCTTTTTTTAAATGTTAAGTATAATGTTTATTTATCAAATTATTTTTAATCATAATTATAATGTGTTGTTATATATTGAATAATGTTTTTAATTATAACTAAAATGTGTATTTTATGTATTAAATAGTTTTAATAATAACCAAAATGTTTATTTTATGTATTGAATTATTTTATCATAACTTGAAGGTTTAATTTATGCATTAAATACATTTTAATCATAATTAATATGTTAATGTATTGAATTAGCTTTTAATCATAACAAAAATGTTTATGTATTAAAATTGCTTCCATTTTTTTTTTTTTTTTGGACACTCTTTGAGAGATTTACTAGGCTATTATATTTATTATATATACTAAACAGGGCAAATTAGCGAGAGAGCGCAATTCCAAAACAGCGTGGAAATTTCTGCGGGTGATTTACTAACAACGCGCAAATTAAAGAACACAGACGCAATCTCATTTACATATCGACCAACGCAATATACCAAGAGCAGCGCAAATTTCCTTCTTTTTTAGGTGATGTCAATGGAGAGGAAGCTGGATTTTCTGGTCAACATCTACATCCAGCGCATGGGCATCCCGCAGTCTGAGACAGATGCTTACTTCGCCTCTAAGGAGCCGGACCCGGCGCCGCCGTACCACAGTCCGGTGGAGCACATGGAGAAGAGCGGCTCCATCACCAAAATCATCCGCTCCAACAGCTCAGCAGGCCAGAAGAATTTTGACCCGCCGCCGTCGACCTGCGTCAACCACCACTGCCCGCCCTCCACATCTTGGCACCTTCACAGCCGCCCCGAACCCACGCAAGGAACGTCACCCACGGGCGACCCGTCGCTAGTGCGCATCCCGCCGCCTCCGGCCCATGAGCGCTCATCCGCCGGCCACAACGGAGGCGCTCGCGGGGCTGGACAGCATCATGCGTCGCGGCGCGAAGATGGACGCCCGCTGGCTCTTTCCAAGCAGCAGGCCGGAGCCGAGAGCGACACGTCCATATCCATCCCCTCGGTGGACCACGAGGAACTGGAGCGCTCCTTCAGCGGCTTCAGCATCTCGCAGTCCAAAGAGAACCTGGACTTCCTCAACAACGCCTACTTCAGCGGCGTGTCGCGCTGCACTAAAGTCAGGCCGTACATCGCAGAGGGCGAGTCGGACACGGACTCCGATCTGTGCGCCCCGTCGCCACACTCCGCCACTGGAGACGGTGCCTATGCGGACAGAGGATGGTCCGGCCCGAAATAGACCTCGCGAATCCGGGATTCGACCAGATTCTGGAGCCAAACACGCGCCAGACTGCATTTGCGTGTTTAAAAAGCAGCGTTTTTCTTCGGCTCCTCGGGCGGAAGAAATGGTGGAAATGGCAAGACGCAGTGAAGATGCAATGCAGTGGCTTCCGCGAGCCGAGCACTTACTTATCCATAGGCTCATGTCTGGAGAAGGACGGATTTTAACGTGAAAGACGTTGGGAGAGTCTTTAGCATTTAATTTGTGACCCTGGACCACAAAACCAGTCATAAGGGTCATTTTTTTTAAATTGAGATTTATACATCACCTGAAATTCGAATAAATAAGCTTTCCATTGATGTATGGTTTGTTAGGATAGAACAATAACTTACTTATCCATCGGCTCATGTCTGGAGAAGGACGGATTTTAACGTGAAAGACGCTGGGAGAGTCTTTAGCATTTCATTTGTGACCCTGGACCACAAAACCAGTCATAAGGGTCATTTTGTCACATATGTGGTGCGTTTGCTTCTTTAAGAACGTCTCACTGATTTCACATCGTCAGCTGGTTAAAGGGATCGTTCACTCAAAAATCTCGCAAACATCCTGTCGTTATTTACTCACCCTCATGTCGCACCAAACGGTATGACTTGCTTTCTTCTGTGCAACACAAAAGAAGAAGTCTTTTTCAAACAAGGACAGTTTTTGCATCTGTCAAGCTCCAAAAGGACCAAAACTACACAAAAGCACAATAAAAATATCATGAAGGTACATTTATACATTTGGCAGATGCTTTTATCCAGTGCAACATTGCATTCAAGTAGGGCTGCATGATAATGGTTAAACAGTTAATCACAATTATACTGCTCAAAGAATACAGTCACGATTAATAATAATTTCATTTTATTTATTTACTTTTTACATTTAATCAAAATTATTGTACTCGGACATAAGCACAAACCAAGAGAATGTCAACTCACATAATTCCCATACAGCAAAAATATGAAAAGAAAATCAAATAAAATGTTGAAATATATTTCAAAATATAAAAGAAATGTCCAAAAAATATATTTGGTAAAATATAACTTTATTAAAAGCATTTAAAAATATATTTTGCCCTCCATATATTTCAATCCATTCACATACAGTACAGGTGCATCTCAATAAATTAGAATGTCGTGGAAAAGTTCATTTATTTCAGTAATTCAACTCAAATTGTGAAACTCGTGTATTAAATAAATTCAATGCACACAGACTGAAGTAGTTTAAGTCTTTGGTTCTTTTAATTGTGATGATTTTGGCTCACATATGTTGATCACAATATTCCCTTAATTAATTACCACAGTTAGGAAATTCACTTCAAGTACATATGAAATATAAAATATCACTTTCTCTCAAGTTTACAGTTTTTTATTACTCCCTGAATTAATAATTTGCATGTCAATAAATTAGGAACATTTAGTAAGATTGTATGTTTAAAGTTAATTTCATACTGCAAATTAACAGCTTCTTGAAATAATGATGAAAATAAGCCTATTTTCTGCCAATATTTTTCTTTTCTTAAAGATACTAAACCTTCCAAAGCAATTTCTAAAACTATTTCTGTAACAACAAAAGTATCCGTTTAATAATATAATATGTCTGCTTGTTACGTCACGATCATTCGACATAAAAAATCATCTCATTTTCTAAAACATGCCATCAGAAAACATGAGGGCCAGATGTAGTATAAAGTTGAACATGAACTAATCATTTAGTTAGTTTGTTAGTTAATTGAATCTCACTCATGAAACAGGGAAAAATACTCTTTTCAATGCACTAATTTACTGAGAGCACATGAGAAATGCACCGTGTCGTTTTGCCTTGTTCTGATGTAATTGATGTTCTGTTGCCTTCTATAGTTTGTTTTATTGGTTGAAACCATACTGAACATAAATGTCTGTATCGAGACCGGACAGCTGACTGGATTTAATGTATGTTTCCTGCAGAAATCATCCATATGTGTTAAACAGCACTTCACACATGCAGACTGCACATCTCCAAAGAGGATAGCTCGTTTACATCATCCGTCTTCCGTATCATTCGCCGCAGTCTTTCTCTAACGCTCCCTTTAATGCTTGTGCTGGACAGATGGGGGAGACCGGGGCTAGTTGTCACACGGTGACTTATTTATTTACAGACAAAATTCTAAAAGTCTTGATTACAAAACGCTGTTGCTCAGGAAAAATAGTTAATTTACGTTCATGCATTTGGAAAATGCTTTTATCCGAGGAGAATTACATTGCATGCAACGTTTACATTTTATCAGTTCATGCATTTGCTGAAAAATCAAACTTATGAAAACAATTGGTGTAGAATTGAACACTTTTCACTCAGAAATTGCTAGTAAATTTCACAATAATTGGCAAGTTGCATTGAATTAAATGTGACATTTGGAAGTAGAAAGACTGAAATAGTATTCTCTTGTAAAAAATACTCCAATAACAGCACTTGAAAAATCATTTTTACAGTGTATATGGGGCATGTTGTGACACTACTACAAAGGGAACCTCCTTCTGATAGTGGTTAAAAATACATTTGTTTGAAATATGTAATGCTATCTAAATAAAAAAAAACACAGCAACAAACCAACAAACACAAAAATAGCTAGAGAAAAACCATTGGTGTGTAGGCTATTTTCACTTTTTACTTAAAACCCTTTTTGCCATGTGACAACTAGCCCCGGCCTCCCCGATTTGAATGCAAAATGCTTAAAATTCAGCAAAAGCAGCAGAATTAAGTACTGGATTAATATAACATACAATAATTACATAATGTACAGTCAGAATACCGTGGTAAATGACCACTGAACATCATTTACCCTAACAGAGACATATAGATGTAAGTCATTGGTTCAGTTGGGTCATGTGGCAGTTCTGAAGCTGAAAATCACTTACAAAAAAGTACTACGTCAATACCCTGGTATTCTTTGAAGTACCTTGGCGTACCCTCATATGGTATTCTCTGCCATCACTGTACTACGGTAACACCACAGTACTTGTTTGTAAGGGACAGTTGAGTTCTGCACATTCAGTCCCAGTGAATCTGTAACAGTGGTTTGAGTTGAACATCGTCACAGCTGCCTTGCTTGATTTCACTTTGTTTTCCAAAGAATCTACTGTATTTTGCTAAATTGCCTTTTATAACGCTGTCGGTTTTGTTCCTGTTGTGTGTAAATGTTTACTGGAGGTCAGTTTGGTCCTGAAATGCTTGTGAATGTATTTCTAAATGCTGTCATTTTGTTTTCACTGTACAGACTCCCAACTTTCACATACTTTGTAGATCTACACAAACAGCTTCTGCGGCGCGAGAATCTGTCAGACAGGTTTGCGATATCTGAAAGGACGAGTAAACAAGTAAATCTTTGCTTTAGATGCATTTGTTAACTGCATATGTGGTATTAGTGATTCTGCACTTCTAGGATTTTTAATTAGTTTAACCAGCAGGACTCACGCGGTCAGTTAGCATCACCAGAATGGCCAGCACTAACCAGCATACACTTGGCTGGGAAAAGTCATGATCTTTTTAACAAAAAAAGTTGCTAGTCTTGCTTTTACTCCCAAAATGTAATCAAGATGACCAAAAGTTTTGCTTTTTGAATGTTAAACGCTTAGAAATCTTAGCTTGGCACTTCTCAGAAACCAGGTTGACCGCATTATTCGTCATCTATGGAAGCCCGTTTCTGCCATGAAATAAAAAATAAGAAAGGTAATTGTGACTTTTTATTTCATAATTCTGATTTTATATCTCATAATTTTTTGTTTATTATGAGTTTATATTTCATATTTCTGAGTTTGTCTCATAATCCTGAGTTTATATCTCATACTTCTGAGTTTATATCTTGTAATTCTGAGTTTTATATCTCATAATTCTGAGTTTATATCTAGCAATTCTGAGTTGAGTTTATATCTCATAATTCTGAGTTTTATATCTTATAATTCTGAGTTTGTCTCATAATCCTGAGTTTATATCTCATAATTCTGAGTTTATATCTTGTAATTCTGAGTTTATATCTTGTAATTCTGAGTTTATATCTTGTAATTCTGAGTTTATATCTTGTAATTCTGAGTTTATATATCATAATTCTGAGTTTATCTCGTAATTCTGAGTTTATATCTCATAATTCTGTTTATATCTCATAATTCTGAGTTTATATCATAATTCTTAGTTTGTCTCACACTTCTAATCTTATATCTCATAATTCTAAGTTTGTCTCGCAATTCTGATCGAGTTTATATCTTGTAATTCGAGTTTATATCATAATTATTAGTTTATATCTCTCAATTCTGAGTTGAGTTTATATCTCATAATTCTGAGTTTATCTTGTAATTCTGAGTTTGTCTCGTAATTCTGAGTTTATATCTCATAATTCTGTTTATATCTCGTAATTCTGAGTTTATATCTTGTAATTCTGAGTTTATATATCATAATTCTGAGTTTATATATCATAATTCTGAGTTTATCTCGTAATTCTGAGTTTATATCTCATAATTCTGTTTATATCTCATAATTCTGAGTTTATATCATAATTCTGAGTTTGTCTCACACTTCTAATCTTATATCTCATAATTCTAAGTTTGTCTCGCAATTCTGATCGATTTTATATCTTGTAATTCTGAGTTTATATCATATTATGAATTTATATCTCTAAATTCTGAGTTGAGTTTATATCTCATAATTCCGAGTTTATCTTGTAATTCTGAGTTTATATCAATTATGAGTTTATATCTCATAATTCTGAGTTTGTCTCGTAATTCTGAGTTTATATCATGATTTCGTTTTTTCTCAGAATTGTGAGTAAAAAAGATATAAATTTAGAATTACAAGAAAGTCAGAATTCTGAGTTTATATCTCATAATTCTTTGTTTCTCGTAATTTTGAGTTTATGTCTCACAATTTGGACTTTTCCTCTCAGAATTGTGATATAAAAAGTCACATTTTCCTTTTTATTTGTTATTTCCGTGGCGGAAATGGCTTTCTCTAGAAGAGTGCATGAATCCAGCAGAAGGAAAGTTTGTGATACTACACGGCCCGCGCATGTCACAAATCCTCCAAGCCTTAAGTTTCTTGTCTATGTGTGGTAAGTGACACTTATGCGATTCACATTGACAGAA